TTACGGATGCAGGAGTGCGGTCATTTCGCAGAAGTTGCATGCGTGAAATTTGAAGATCTTGGGCTGGAGCTTCTCTTACCTCGCAGAGAAGGTTGCCATTGAAGCATGTGGGTAGTTCTCTAAACTAGGTTCCCGTTTTAGGTAATTACCCAATATAGTACGGCACCCTGATAAAAAGGACCCCCAAAGGGACGCTAATTTAGAAAACTGCCCATGTACTGTAGCGGCCTTGCTAATTAGACTGGGGTTTTGGGGTATATTCTGCTGTCATTATAATAAGGAACCCTCGAAATAGTATAGGTAATCATTATGGCCCCTACATTACTAGAATCATCGTGAACAACCACTGCGGTGAGGGTTTCTTGTACTGCGAGCTCAGTCTTACCGGTAGTTTGCTGTGGACATGGACTAGGTGTTTGCTGACGTCTCTGGGTCATTTAGATCATCGCCCATCTTCCGGATCGGACGAGCCTCTGCCTGATGTCGTTCTACATTGATGTTGCTTTGCTCAGTGGAGCCCGGGTACGCGTGGAAGCGACCGCGAGCACCCGCCTCGACGAAATCCGCGATCGCGCACAAGGAATGCTATGTTCCGGGCTCAGGGGCCGTTTGCTGAGCCCTTTGGGAACCCCAATGGAGGGTAGTTTGACCGTCGGCGAACTTGGGCTGAAGTCCGGTGAAGAGCTCACCTTTCTGGTGAGCCTACCCAAGCTTGCCGCTCATGACGGCGCGTGTCTATGCATCCTCGGAGATGGATCCCTGGTGGTTTGGGGGGACCAGTCCTTTGCCGCTGTTAGTCTCTCGCGGCTCTTAAAACTCGTTTTTTGATGTTTTGAAGTTGTCTGTTAAGAAGGAACCAACAAGTCAGCACTTTTCAACAAGCCTCCAAGAACAGCCCAGGCGTGATGGTGCAGGATCAACTGCAGAATGTGCAGCAGATTCAGGTGAACGGAACTGCGGCAATTGCTGCCGCTGCCCTTCTGGCTGATGGATCTGTGGTGAGCTGGGGCAATGAAGATTACGGTGGCGATAGCAGTGCCGTTCAGGAGCAACTGGCCAAGGTGAAACATATTCAAGCCACTATAGGAGCGTTCGCAGCTATCCGGTCTGATGGATCGGTGGTCACGTGGGGCAGTGAAGGCTACGGAGGCGACAGCAGTGGTGTTCAAAAGCAGCTGAAGCAGGTGCAGCATGTTCAAGCGACTGGAGGTGCATTTGCTGCTGTCCTTGCTGATGGGTCTGTGGTGACATGGGGCAACAGAAGCTATGGCGGTGACAACAGCGCCGTGAAGCAGCAGCTGCAAAATGTGAAGCACATTCAAGCCACGGAACGAGCCTTTGCTGCAATTCTGGATGATGGATCCGTGGTGACTTGGGGCAGTGCAAATGACGGAGGTGACAGCAGCGCCGTTCAGCAACAGTTGATCAATGTGCAGCACATTCAGGCTACTGGACTCATACCTGCATCTCACTGTTACGCGTATGCAGCATTTACTTGTGGGGCGTTTGCTGCCATCCGAGCCGATGGATCCGTAGTGACATGGGGCAGCACAAAGGACGGCGGTGACAGCAGCACCGTTCAGAAGGAGCTGACCAACGTGGAGCGTGTGCAGGCGACAATAGGTGCGTTTGCTGCCATCCTCGCTGATGGGTCCGTCGTTACATGGGGCAGCGCAAGCTACGGTGGCGACAGCACCTTTGTTCAGCAGCAGCTGAAGAACGTGCAAGACATTCAAGCCACTTTAGGGGCATTCGCTGCAATCCGAGTTGATGGGTCTGTTGTGACGTGGGGCAACGAGGATTACTACGGTGGTGATAGCAGCGCCGTGCAGAAGCAACTGGCCAACGTGCAGCACGTTCAAGCCTCTGGAGGGGCATTCGCGGCTATCCGGCGTGATGGCTCCGTGGTTACATGGGGCAATGCCGATTACGGCGGCGACAGCAGCTCCGTTCAGCAGCAGCTGAAGCAGGTGCAGCATGTTCAAGCGACTGGAGGGGCTTTTGCTGCCGTCTTGGCTGATGGATCTGTGGTGACATGGGGAAATAGAGAGTATGGCGGTAACAGCAAGGATGTCCAGCAACAGCTTTCGACTTTCATATCTTTGAGCCAATGAGCGGTGTCTTTTGCACAGCTGACCGAGGGTTTGTGGTTCGATGCTGAACATCTCAGCAATGTGGAAAATCTATTCAAGAGCTTTTCCTGTACTGTACTCGTTTTGGAGCAAAGAAGGAAGCCCGGGTTTGTTGTTTGGGGTTTTAGTCTTACTCATAAAACCCCTGAACTGTCAAGAGCCCCAAATCCCCAACCCTAAGCCTCTGAACGCTAAAGCCGCTAAAGCCCAGTCTTAACAGCAAGTGAAGCCTTACAACATCTTGCAGCTTTCTTCGTGGGGACCCCGTTAACTCGAATGCAAGCTTGGGCAGAACCCCCGCACTCTATGTACTCAGTGTCTCTGGTATCGAAACCTTTAAAGCTCTAAACCCCTCCCCTAACCCCAAACTGACAGCTACGAAGGGGGTAGTGAGTTCCTTCAGCATCAAGAGGTTCCACGCTTAAGGGGAGCAGCCGGCCCCAAGAAACACATATGGGTAGTTGTCAAAATTATGGTCCCTTTTGGGGGTACCCTAAATAGTAGGTGCCGTATTATAATAAGGACCCAAAAATGGACCATGGTTTTGACAACCACCCATATCACCCTAACTCGCGTGACCCAATATTTCGCCAGACGGCGGGTCCCATAGTTCCCGCAACCGTTTAGGGTTTAGGGTTTAGGGTTTAGGGTTTAGGGTTTAGGGTTTAGGGTTTAGGGTTTAGGGTTTAGGGTTTAGGGTTGTACTCTGGACTCAGGTGACTCTTAACTCCCTCAACCCAGAACTCCTACACCCCCCAATGCCTCGAATCAGCCTACACCCTCAAGCCCTAAATCCCTCAAGCCTAAACCCTATGAGCCGCAAGCCTCAAGGCTTATACCCGAAGGCCTTTGACACTTGGAGACCTCCTGCCCTTAGCCCTTGGCCCCTAAACCCTAAACTCTAAACCCTAAACCCTAGGCCCTAAACCCAAGCCCCTAAGCCATTCATTCAACTTTCACAGAATCTCCCCCGGCCAACTGTCGGAGGTGGTGTAAGTTCTTGAAAGTTTTTGATGGATTATAAGGTTCTTTAGAATTCCTACCAGGGTTCTATGGGGTCCGAGAAGCGTGCCTTAAGGTTTGTATTATAAGGCCTCTGTAGGGTTCTGTAATAAGGGGCCTGAATAATTGCCATTAACTAATTACCTATTATGTTCTGGGGGTCCTTATCATATTTGTTTGTAGTTTTACACCCCAAAGCACTACTCTAGTTATTGAGGCCCATATATTAAGCCCGTAAAACCCTACACCCTAAACCCTAAATCCTAAACTCTCTTAAACGAACCCTATTCTAAGTTTTCGACGATCAGGTCATGCTGCAACGTGTGCAAGCCCGGACACAGTCAGACCGCTGGCTCTTGCAGGACGGCCTTGAAACCTAAACGCTAAACCTTCAACCTTGATCCCTAAACCCTACTACCTAAACCTTAAACCTTGATCCCTAAACCTTAAACCCTAAACCCTAAACCCTAAACCCTAAACCCTAAACCCTAAACCCTAAACCCTATACTAGTTGTTATAAGGCCCCTATATGGGCTCTAGGTCTCCGGGGTCCCGAACCAGAACCATGACACCCTCAGCCCTAAACCTTAGGGTTGGGTATGGTCTGTGATAATACAGGGGCCTTAATAATTAGCATAGGGTTTGGTACATTCTACTATAAGTATATAAGGAACCCCCAAAACCCTATTCTAAAAACCCTAAACCCTAAACTCTATACCCAAAACCTAGACCCTAAACCCTTTTCTAGTTGTTATAAGGCCCCTATATTACAGGGTTTCTGATGTTAGTGCAGCCTTCTGGATCTCCCAGAACCCCCCAAGTCTTTACGCCCTGCAGCTCTGACCGTGCGGGTTTAGGGTATTTAGGGTATTTTGGGTATTTAGGGTTCAGGGTTTAGGGTATTTAGGGTATGTTGTGATTTTTGGACATTTTAGGGTTTAGGGTTTAGGGTTTAGGCTAGACCCTACACCTAGGCGCCTCTTCCCCTAATCATGAAGCCCGAGCACAAAAGCTGGAACTGTACTCCCTGACGCCGTGCCGTGAAAGTGAGGGCCACAACCCTTGCAAACTCTTACACTTACATTAGGGTTTAGGGTTTAGGTTTTAGGGTTTAGGGTTTAGGGTTTAGCACCTTACATTAGGGTTTAGGGTTTAGGTTTTAGGGTTTAGGGTTTGGGGTTTAGCCCCACAAATTCCGACAAAACGAGATAAAGCCGCCTAAAGCCGTTGAATAACCCTTTGAGCCCAGAACTCCTGTAAGCCACCCCAAAACGCTAAACCCTAAACCCCCTAAGCTCCGCAGAACTCCTACAGCCAAGGGAAGCCTCGAGACATGAAGCCCAGGAACTCTAAGCCCTAAGCCCTACCAGCACCCCCCAAGTACCCCTGAATGGAGCTCTTATGGTCCTTAATAGTGGGTATTTCAGGTATAATAGAGGGTAGTTCGGGGGGGTGCTGGTAAGCCCTGAACCCAAAGTACCGAGGCACCACGATCTCCGACTTGAATTCTCAAGCCCTGAGCTCAACCTGTAACACCAAAACAACTAGATCTCTTCAGGGTTTTAGAGGCCAGGGTCTAAGGTTTAGGGTTTAGGGTTTAGGGTTTTAGGGTTTTAGGGTTTAGGTTTTAGGGTTTAGGGCTTAAGGTTCAGGGTGTGGGGTTTAGGGTTTAGGGTTTAGAGGTCAGGGCTTAAGGTTTAAGGCGTCCCTTGGAGCATGGTTGGCTTTTAAGGGCAGGTGCACCCGACGAGCCTCACCCTCAACCCTGAACCCTACCTTGAACTACCAAAAACCTACTTTTTTTGTAGGGTCCCTATAAATTCTATATCAGGGCTTATAATAAGGACCTACAAAAAACGGTCCCTATAAGCTCCTATAAACTCTATATTAGGGCTTATAATAAGGACCTACAAAAAAGTAGGTTTTGGTAGTGTAAGGTACAGATGAAGCAGGAAGAAGCGAAGGAGATGGCTGCCAAGAGAAGGCGCAGGCTGCGCTGGGAGTGGGAGACTGGCGGCTCCTGCACAATGATGAGATCCTGTACCCAGAGAGCCCAACCGGTTTAGGGTTTAGGGTTTAGGGTTTAGGGCAACACCCCTTAATTATGGAAGCTACCTTTAAATCATAGGCCCCTATAATTTTAGGTATATTCCTTACGTAATTAAGGGGTGTTGGGCTTCTGGGGATGGCAATGACACCATCAAGCGGGCAGGGCAGCGGGTGGCCGAGAATAGCCGGCGAGCTCAACCCCAAACCCTAAACCCTA